TTCTTCTGGAACTTTCTCTCCCTTGTGATCCATCACAGCCCACGCCTGGACATTCTCCAGACTGTAGAGCCGTTTTCAATTTGAATAGGTCTTAAGCAGGCAGGGTTAAAATTGTTCTGTTACGTACTGTTTTGTTTTAATCTTTTTTTTATGTTTTCATAATTTATCTGGTTTTTAGAGTAAGCTGCTTTATGCTTCTTTTGAGGAGGGTGACGTACGTCTAATAAAACGAGCAGGGGGTTGGACTAAATTACCTCTCCAAGTTCCTTCCAAATCTATTTTTTATGATTCTAAAGACATCTGATTGTATATGTAAGAATGAAGGTGCAAGCTGTGACATTCTCCTGCACCCTCTAGACAAGTGATTTGTGGAACAGCTTTGGCAGAAGTTGAAAGATCCGGGGATGCAGAAGAGGCACCACATTGCTATTGTCAGGGGAGAAGAGATTAAGAAACTTAAGAGAAAAAAAATCTAGGCATAAAGACACAGAGAAAGCCTCTATTCCTTTCCAGCCTATACGAAGTGAGAGGTAAATCCTAGTTTGAAGAACACTTGGTTAAAGAGCCTATTTAGATAAATTAAAATAAGATTGAACACAAAGAAAAAATGGCTTAGAAAAAGCGATTTAATTTTAACTGAATGTGTTTACGTTCTTATCAACCTTTGTATCTCAGTGATCCAGATTAGGCTTTGAAGTTCATATCTGGAAGAGTTGAATGCTAGAAATGTTTAAGTGTTTATTCACGCTATTGTACACATGGCAGTTGTACGGAAAGCAACATCCACTAATATTACCTACCTTTTCCATAATACATTTCTAATAGATCTCAAAAGAGGTCAGGGACAGGTTTCCTATTTTATAGGCAGGAAAATGGAGACATAGGGAGGTGAAGTGACTTGCCCAAGGTCATCTAGCAGCCTGGAAAAGAGACCTGGGAATAGAAACCTGTACTTCTAATGCCAGTCCAATATTGATCCACTAGCCCACATGGCCTCCTTCTCATAGCAGAAGAATATAGTAAACATAATCTAATGATTAATAAAAGCAAAGACTGTAGAAAATAGCACAGATTGAAAAAACAGACTACAGTTATTTTGTTAACTTTTTTTTTTTGTTTTCAGTTTTAATTACACCATTAGCATCAAGAATATGTTTGAATATATTCATTTATTACTTTGAAGGTTTGATATATGAATCTGTTTTCTTCATTAAATTAAGAAAGAATAAATTATTTAAAATACATTTCTGCTATAAAAATTATATCTAAAGAGGTTCTTTCATGCTAACTGGCATACATATTCATATACATTTTCATTTTCTGTTTCTGAAATAATGGGAAATATTCATTTTAGAAAGTCAACTGCATTAGTAATCGGAATCAAACTCAATTCTAGAAATTCAGATTAAGAATGAAAATTTCCTCCTTAACTGCTGCCCTGTTTTTTCTTTTCTTTTCCTTTTTTTTTAATAGGGCAGTTAATGCAGCAGGTGAATTTACTTGCTGTTCTTTGACCCATCTAGTAACTAGATCTAATAAAGTAGGGTAGGGAATGTGTTCCAGGTCTTTTTTCCATGCAGTTTTACATATATATTGTATTTAAAATCTCACAAAGTTTATCATGTATCATTATTTGAGTGTTCTGTGTATCTTTTTAGAAACCATCATTGTTAATTCATAGCACATACTCATCTTTAAAATCTCGAGTTTCATCTGTATGTAAGACTTCATATTTTTAATTCAATTATAGTATATGGTATTTCTCCACTGTGGGTTTGCAATTATGATGAATAGTTTCATCCAGAAAGACTATATACCTAGCGATATTTATGAGGAAGATGAGATGGAAGTGTTATACTGCTGAATATTTCTTTTTGTTAGAAATCAAGAATATGGTTCCTGGTTTACGAAGGAGTTGTGCGCCAGATGCCTTATTTCTTCTTCTGTGATATAGCTCCCTTCTCTCAAAAGAGACAACCCTTTTCCTTTCACTATTCGTTCAAGTATTGAGTACTGTCAGTTAGAAGCAGTATGAGATAATGTCATCCCATTATCCCTTTTAAAAAAGGGAAAAAATATATAGCCTGCTACTATATCATAGTTAATAATCATGAGTATAGGGGCCAATGTGATTTCAAAATCTGGGTACCAGTTTGAATATACTGCATTGTAAAAATATTATTACCAAAGGGCTGAATTTTGCTCTTACTAAAGCCTGTTGGAATTTTGCCATTTCTGCTGGGGAAGCAATAAGAAGTCCTGATCCTTTCTGAACATGTCATTCCTTTCCTACCTACAGATACATGCATTTGAATTCCAGCTATCCATTCCAGCTATAGCTATTACTATCCTGTACATGTGTGCATGCTTGTGCGTGCGTGTGTAATCCTCTTTTGGTAGCTTCCGTTTCCTTCAAGAGGAAAAATAATGTTTGTTATATAAGATACACATTTCAGGCCTCCTCCTTTCTTTCTTTCCTTCATTTATTTAAAATGGTGATTTGGTGTGGCTATAACATCGTTTTGATAATAAGCTGTTATATAATACTACCTATTCAGTACACTGCAATAGGCAAGCAGAAATCAGAAAAAAATAAGTAGTAGTATCAAGATAGACAAATTTTGCAGTGTAACAGATGGTATAAAAGCAAAATGGTAAAATAGGAGGTAATGTACCAAGGGAAAAATAAATTCAAGGAGAGAAAAAGGTCTGCCCTTGAACAAATAGCTAAAGCTCTCCCTACCTACTGGTGAAAAGAACACAGTTTAATACTTATCCTTAAGCTTTTCTGTCTCTCTCTCACCACCATTCAGTTTCAGAAACTATTCAATGTAGTTGGGATAGCAAAATGTAATTTGTAAAAAAATTCCTTCATAAGGTTGGAATATTACTGGTTTATGTGTGACTTTAGGTAACAGCAAAACTGAAAATATCAGTTTGATTTAAATGTTGCCAGTATTTTCTGGGCTGCCAAAGTCTCTGACACACAAAATATGTTTGGCCCTGTATAGAATTACTGTTCTTTGAACAGTTCTAATACTGACTTTTGAAGTAATAGTATACATTCACTATTTTTAAAAATATATAACTGTAAACCTTCATTCCCAGGGTTTTCTTGTTTTTTATTTTTGAATCTCTTTTTGTGATAGACGTTACCAGCATGCCATCAAGGACTAAACTAGCCAGCTGCCTCCTGAACTATTTGTATGTCTTGCATGCTGTTCCTTTTCTGATTCCTTAATCCAAACTGCAGTGCACGTTTGCATTCCTCAACAGCTCACTGATCAGTAATTTATTTCCAGACTACTGCATATCAATTATCAATGGAGGGTTATAATCGAAGCCAGACTTAATATTGCACATAACATAATATAAAATAAAAAGTCATTGTAAAGTGAGATTAATCTGTAATATAAAGCTTTTCTTTTTCTTCCTTACCATCTACCTAAATTACTTCTCTTAGTTTTCAGGTACCTGTTGATCACTCACAGGCAATTCTTTGATGAAAACAATGTTTTTCATAATGAGAGATAACACATAACTATAACTAATATAAATCAAATTATGCAGAAATGTGGCAGGATTCTAAACACTAATTGTTACCCAAGAGATAAAGCTAATCAAATTCTCTATAGTTTCGACTGGTGAATGAGCTACATTACATGAATATTGTTACAGATGTTGAAAAATTTCCCCATTTTTCTCGTTGTGAGTTATGGCACATTTTTGTAAACCTAATGCACTAGTTGTAAATACAGTATTTATAACTGATTTTGTTCCATGTTGATGCATACCTATTCGAAGACATTCAGTTTCTCTACAAATAATGGGAAAAGAGGAGAGAAGGGATGGCATTATTTTGTACTCTCTCTCAATGCTACCAAAAATCAATGGGAGAAAATAGTGGATATTTCTTTCTACTTCAAGGACTTTTACTCTGTCCTCAAGGAATCTAATCCAAAGACTTAAGGAATCACAGTCAGGAAACATTCCACTGGAATGCCTCTCTGCAGGTAGTCAATGGTAGGACTGCTTGTCATTTGAAATCTTAATAGCTTTAAAGGACTTGTAAGCAAACAGTTTTGTGTTGGCAGGGACAAGTGTTTGCTGATATAGAGGAAGCAATAACACATTTGTCAATAGTATCTGCAGCCATGTCACTGGTCTACAGCTAACTTTGCACCACTAATTACAGTAAATTACAATAGGATTCTCTCCAGTTATTAGGGTAACTTGATAATAGGAAGGGATGTCCTTGTGGCAATGATGATAACAAACTCCAAAGGAATGGTGGAAAGGACAGACTTAGTCAGATTGAAAGCTAAAATGTTGGCTACACACAGATACCTATTTTATCAGAGCTACTTTTAATAATTTGTAGGGTCTGTCTACCTATATTTTCATACATGATCAGCTACTTTATGGTAGGCTTTATCTACCTGTATTTTCAAACATGCACATACAGTTACTTTATAGGATTCATTAGCATTCTGTTTCAGAAGTGAAATCTGATTCCTTAGTAGTGATAGTTCATTCTTTTGGCAAGATCCATATTCATCAGTAATTTTTCCCCCAAAGAGTGATTTCTTCATGCCATTTTGGCATTATGAAACAAGTTTCTGCCATCATCTACAAGCTGAGTTCATCTTGTGCTTGAAGAGATTTATGTAGTAATATCCATAAGAGATTTTAATTTTAAACCTCATCATCACCCTTCTTCTCTCTCTTTCTCTCTCTCTCTCTCTCTCTCTCTCTCTCAATCTCCCCGTTTTTCCCCACAGCACGATGCTCCAGTACTTTCTCTTTTTAAAATGGTGACTTTGACTTGTGAAGACCAAATAATCAGCTCTTTTGTTGGTGGGATGATCAGAGTAGAAATAGTTTTCAGAGGATTTCTCTTCATAAAGCTCTTTCATCCACCATGTATTTTCTCCTCTGTCAGCCGTGGGTCATGATGCTGAAGCTTATATCTGTAGTTTCTTTCTCTCTCCTGCTTGCAGGCATGGATCTCTTTTCCAACTGCACAGAGGAATGTAAAGCACTGGGTCACTCAGATCGATGCTGGATGCCTTCCTTTGTTCCATCCGATGGACGCCAAGCTGCAGATTACCGCAGCAATCTGCATGTACCTGGTATGGACTCTGTTCCAGACACTGAAGTGTTTGAAACACCAGAAGCCCAGCCTGGGGCAGAAAGATCCTTCTCCACCTTTGGCAAAGAGAAGGCCCTTCACAATACTCTGGAGAGGAAGGAGTTGGATGGACTGCTGTCTAATACACGAGCGCCTTACAAACCACCATATTTGAGTAAGTACTATTCAAAAGGCTGTGTGAAAGTGTTCCCTTTGTGGGACTAAAACTTGATTCACCACCATTCCTCACTAGGAATAGTGGAGACAGATCTTTGGAGGCAAGGTGAAAAGTTGATTCCTCTTGGATTAAGGCACTATGGAAGAGGGCAGTGTTGAAAGTATTTAAAAAGGAAAAGGTTTTGTTTAATTTATTAAGACACAGTTGGTAAAAGTAAAAATATAATTAGTGTTCTTTTATTTTTTGGAAGATGAAATGTATTGGAAGGTTCCTTGCACTACTTTTTGAAAGAGGTGCATACTAGACTAAACACTTCTGAAGTACAAAATGAAGGCAGGCAAAGGGTCTTCTGCATTCTAAATACTCTTAAACTACTTCTTTTTTCTTATTGATACTAAGCATATCACTTGACCAAACAACACTTTTACAATACTGCTTCTTTGCTAAAATTAGGCATTGTGGAAAGCAGCAGATGAGTTATTTCTTTTTTTTTCCCCTCTCTGTTTCCACTGTCTCCCTTTCTGGTCCTCAACCTATATGATTATCAACTTTTCTGTTGTAGTCAACACTTTGTCTTCTGAATTCTTGCCTTTTTGTTTTAGTCATCTTCATGATCATGGTTAATTGATACAGAGAGTGTATAGACCCAGAAAGGACACTTCATTTTGGAATCTGAGCCAGATGAAGAACATTATCTAAGACCAAAGTATTCCTTTAATTTACCTCTATATCTACTTTGACTTGAAGAGTTTGATACTTGCCAATCTGTATTTCTGAAGTCAAGGAGGACCTTATTTTAATAAACACCCTCTTAAAGCAACAGAGATATCTTAAATCATTATGTCAGGCAAGTAGATATTGCTCAGAGTTGGCTTTATATTAATTTATGTTTTAAATTAATTTGGTGATTGTAAAATACGCTGCAGTGATAGCCTTGGAAACTGAAGTCCTTTGTTTGTACAGACAGAAATAGTGCTTGCTTCTCTTTTTCTTTCTCTGCTCTGCCCTGATAGTCTTACCTTTCAAAGTGTAAAAATAGTTCAGTCTTGCCTATTCAATCCATTGACTCTCTGTTGGGTCTACCAAAAAGCTGACAAATTGTGATGTCAGTTTTATGATCTGAACTTTAAAAAAAAGCAAAAAACAAACAAACAAAAAAAGGAAACACCTCATTCCATGTAGAACAAAATAGAAGCCATTGCCTACTAGTAAACTTTCCTTTTTTTCTGACTATTTCCCTATAGTTTGCTCACATCTCAGTTTCCCATAATACTTGAGCTCATTCTATCACGGTGGGTTATTTTTTATTTTATTTTTACATTTTAATTAAAATCTGTTTTACAGTTTTATAGCATTGCCATACAAATCGTGACAATACACCTGTTCTTGTTCAATTTTAGTAAAATTATTATTGGGAAGATTCTTTTGTATGGCCAAATTGATGCTTTTGTTTATTTCTTACAGGTTTTGGAGTGCAATTTTTTTTTTTTAATCAATATGCTATTTTCCTGTTAGTTTAGTTTATACTTCAGTTAAATTAGTATAATTGATTATGTTTGTCAGTCTGGTAACTAATTGTTCCATACTTTATAGTTTACTTTCTTCACATAACATGGCATGAGACTATAAAATATAATTCAGTTGGCTTTGGCACAAAGTCCAATAATATTGGTGAGTGGTATGATTTGAGTTATACTAAGCAGAATTAAAGCTGGAATTTGAATTTCACTGAACCTCAAAACTAAATCTACAATGAGAACACATATTTCTGACTTGTGTTTCCCTTATATTTTTCTTTGGTATAATTTTAGATTAAACATGCATAGGAAGTACCAGGGGAAAAAGCAGGGGGGGGGGGAATGAAAATAGTACCGTGTAGACCTTGGCAAATATTTTATATAATAAAAACAATGCTAAGAGAGAAGTTACGCTCAGCTTAGTTCTAAGAAACACACAGTAGTTGATTCAGGAAGCGATTATAGTTGAGTCATTAAGTAATTGTGACCACAATATAATTAGGTTCAGCATCCTTGTGGGAAGAATTGTACCCCAAATTATGGTGATACCAGACTTTAGAAAGGGTAGTTTAAAGCACAAACAAACCAACAACAACAGCAAAAATCCCAAGGTGGTTAGAAAGGATCTTGAAGGGAAGACACTATATTCAGAACTATTCTCAGCACGGATTGTTCTTAAGCATGCAATAATAGCATGGCAACAACATGTATGCTTTAAATGTAAAGAAAAAAGGAAGGCAAGGGAAAAAAATCAGTATTGTTAAATTGCAAGGGAAAAGTTATTTTAGTCCAATGTTATCTATTGAACAAACAGAAGAGAAAAAGATTATTAGCATTAGTAAAGCCAATAAAAAGGAGCATACACTACAACAGGCAAACTTTAAGATGGAAATTAAGAGAAATGAATTACTTTTTAGAGCCAACAGCCAAAGGCATGAAAATGAATGAAAACATTCCTAGCATATGAGAAGTAGGAACCCTGTGAGAGAACTAGTGAATCTCTTGAGCCACAATTAGTAAGGGTAAGCACACTGAAGAGAAGCTGAATGTTTTGTTTTGTTTTTTTCCCCGCATCAGTCTTTAATGGAGAGAGCATTAGGGAGATACCTGCTTGCAGACCAGCTTTTTTCAGGTAAATATTTGATGCTGGGTTTTGAAAATATGAGATTCTGGGGGGAAAAAAGGCAATAATAGATAGAAACATGGTATTAAGACACTCTATGGCTGCTTGCAAATGTTGAAAACAAAACAAAAAACAGTGCTCTACTCTAAACTCCGCACACCCCCACACAGAGCCCAGGGCATGTCCAGGAGAGGCATTTCATTAGTTGGGCCCAGCTCACCCAATGTCTGTATAGATCAGGTGCTTTAGTGTGGCTTTTGGGGTGTTTTTATCTAATAGCTGATTGAATCTGCTGAGCTGGGTCAAAGTAACACACTACTGCTTCAAGTAAAGCATGGGTTTTTTTGTTCATTTTTTTTTTTTGACATCTGCAAGCAGCCTATATTCTTAGAAAAAGTTAAAATGAAATGTGGAATTTATGACGGCCATTGTAGTGGGTGGCTGCAGTTGTACTTGTAATTAAAAAGAGATGTTTGTGAACTTGGAAATACAGCCCAGTGAGCCAGTTCTAAAGCAAATGGTTAAAATGAGGATGACAGAATAATATAAAATAATGGCAGCAATAGGAACAAACTGTCCATCTGTGTTGGAAAATTAGAATTTTTAAGGGTGGGTAAAAGAGAACTGTTAGAGATTATTTTACCTCTCACCCCATGACTCGCATAGTTACTTTAGTACTATTTGTGAAACAATTATGAAATGTTTAAAAAAAATTCAGAAATAATGTTAAACATTAGAAACAAGCTAAGAGACAGAGAAAAAATACTCAGGATAAATGGAATGTTTTCAGCTTCAGCAAAACTTGAACAGGGGGCTCTGTAGGGGTCTGGGCTGGGACCCATACTGTTTGGTATTTCTTAATGGTGTGAAAAAGGGGATAAAAATGGAGAGAGAGAAATTTTTAGATAATAGAAAACTATTTAACTCAGTCAAAACTATAGTGGACTATGAAGAGCTTCAGAGTGACTTTAAAAAGCTAGGAGAGTAGAAAGGAAATGCATTCTGTAAGGAGTAATTTGAACTATTCATGTACCTTTAGGTATTATAAAATACCACTGAGGAAAAACACTGTGAACAGTTTAATGAAAAGTGTGTGGCTAATGTACTGTGCTAGTCAGAATAACAAACAAAATACTACATTGTAAAAAGAATAAAATAGAAAATGTGTTTCAAAATCTGTAATACCATTAAATATACTTCTTTATCCTATCTCTGTGTTCATCTATTGGTCATCTACTGAATCTGAAAAAAAATAGATATAGCCTAACAATCAGAGGCATAAAATACTTCAATGGAAAAAAGAACCAAAATGATTAGCACTAATTAATTGAGAGAAGATATAAGAGGGAACACGAGGAATATAGGTTAACAGATATGGGCAGATCTAGGATTTAGTAAAGAGGGATGTGGCACACTGTCCCTCAGACCTTGATGGGGGCAAGGTGTGCTGGGAGCCTCCAGACCAACAGGCAACACTGGAGGATAGGGCAAGGAGCAGGTACATGAAGGGAGGGGACAGGACCCCTGCTCATTCCTCTCTTCTCCCTTTCCCCACATCCTCTGCTGCAGGGAGCAGGTGTTGGAAGGAAGAACCCACCCTCTGGTGCTGCTGTGTCCGGCTGAGCCCAGCACCCTGTGCAGCTGCTCCCTGCAGCCCTCAGCTGGAGCAGGACAGGATTGGCTCTTGGGCTGCTTCTGTACCTATGTCAGTCAGGGACAGCAGTGGTGGGAGGCAGGTTCCTCCTCCCAGCTCCTGCTCCTGGTGAGAGGGAGACATGGTGGGGGAGCAGCAATGTGTAGCAGTGTGACTGCTGTCACTGTCCCCTGCCAGGCCTGGCACCCCATGAAGCATCAGCCTATGGCTGGAGTGGGCCAGGAGAGACTCTGGGACTTCCCCCATGCTTGGCTCAGCAAGGGACAATGGTAGTGATGGCAGGCTTGTGCCTACCCCCTAGCACCTTGTGTCCCATTCTGGCTTAGCAGCTCCAGCTACAAGGAGAGTCTGCATAGAGCTCCGGGTTTAGTTGGAGAGAATGGGGACAGAATGGGGGGGAAGTACAACTGCATTGCTGCACCCCTCTGAATCTACCTCATATAAAGGAAGACACTACAAATATAAAGTATATGTTCCCATTTACTGTTTATTATAACATAAGAATGAGGGGACAACAGAAACAGTCAATTTTAAAATAGGAATACTTGTGATGCAGTTTAAAAAGAAATATGTGTGACACAATTTCCATCGGTTAATTAATAATTATTGCCATAGGATATAATTTAAACTGGGACATAGGAGTGTATTTAAAAAAAAAAAATGAATCAGATGATTATTTGAATAACTGAGACTATCAGCAATTACAGTGAAAATGTATAAAGGATGTAAATCCTTATGTTTCAAATGGCTTAAAAGAAATCCTCTGTGAGCATCTAGTAAAGATTCTTGCACTGTTAGCTTCCCCAGGTAAGCCATGACACTTCAATATAGTAATTTCTATGTTCATATAAATTTATCTTTTTTTTTTTCCTAATGGAAAACCAGGTGCAGATTACTATATCTTCAAATCACTTAATTGATTATTTAATAGAAATCAAAACAGAAACAACATGCTGAATTTGGCCAAAGCAAATTCATCAACCAAATGCATATTTATAGAGAAAAAATGCATTTTTTTCAGAACTGTAAATTTGTTTAAATGAAGTGTAGCCCTCCTTTTTTGCTCTGCTATTAGTTGGTCATATTTTTTGTTACTATTATTAATATTACTGTAGTGCCAAGTTACCAATTAAGGATCAGGCCCTATTTGTGTTGGGTGTTGGTCATACCACATATTATAAGAAATTGTCTTAGCTCTTAAGAACATAAACTAATTTCTAAAACAATGATTATTCAGAAGGTGTAAAATGAAGTAGCTCCCTGAGTCCAGTGGAGGTATGCTGATTCAGAGTAGCTCAGGATATGACCATTACATTTGAAATTCCTTTATAACTCTTTTTTCAACAAGCTTGTATTTCTTCTGGGTCATGGAAATGAATTTTAAGTCTTTCTTTTATACTTTCATTCCTACAATTTTTTTGAGATCAATAGACAACCATAAGGGAGACAAGTACAGCATGGTCACTAGCAATGCTAGGTAGTGGTAACATACACCAAGGCTTTGTTTATCTTGACACTTTAAAGGGTGCGAACCAACTTCCCAGGGTAGTGCCCTAACCAGTAGATCATCAACTAGACAGGACTCTGCTTCCTCTATACCATCTGTTGAAACTAGGTGACCAGGCAATCTAGGTTTATGGAGCAGAAGAGGACAAGTCAGATGGAGCCTACTTCTGTGGTCCAGTTAGCTAGGTATTATGTCTGGAGGGAGTCTTTGATTCTGGGTCCTGCTTCTAATGCTGTTTCTCCAGGTTATCTAATGCAAAATACGTCACTTATACTAAAGTAAATCTGGATACTGCCACTGAAAAAGAATGGCTTTCCCTAGATTATTCTATGGTGGGGTGTTTAAAATCACCCTGTGTCCTGAGCTGGATCCAGACCATGATGCTGTTCATGAGCCAGACGCAGCTCAAGACATAGGGCCAAGCACAAGGGGGGTGGGGTAGGATCCAGCATGGCATACAGGGCAACAGCAGGAGTGC